GGAAAGCAGCCAGGCAGAAAGGGACCTGGGGGTACTAATTGACAGGAAGCTCAACATGAGCCAACAGTGTGCCCAGGTGGCCAAGAAGGCCAATGGGATCTTGTCCTGTATCAAAAATAGCGTGGCCAGCAGGAGCAGGGAAGTGATCCTTCCCCTGTACTCTGCGTTGGTGAGGCCACACCTTGAGTATTGTGTTCAGTTCTGGGCCCCTCAGTTCAGAAAGGATATTGAGGTGCTGGAGCGGGTCCAGAGAAGAGCAACAAGGCTGGTGAAGGGACTGGAGCATAAGTCCTATGGGGAGAGGCTGAGGGAGCTGGGGTTGTTTAGCCTGGAGAAGAGGAGGCTCAGAGGTGACCTCATCACCGTCTATAACTACCTGAAGGGAAGTTCTAGCCAGGTGGGGGTTGGTCTCTTCTCTCAGGCACTCGGCAATAGGACAAGGGGGCACGGGCTTAAGCTCCGCCAGGGGAAATTTAAGTTGGATATCAGGAGAAAATTCTTTACAGAGAGAGTAATCAGGCATTGGAATGGGCTGCCCAGAGAGGTGGTGGATTCACCTTCCCTGGAGATTTTTAAACGCAGATTGGACGTGGCACTGAGTGCCATGATCTAGTAAATGGACTGGATTTGGACCAAGGGTTGGACTCGATGATCTCGGAGGTCTTTTCCAACCCAATAGATTCTATGATTCTATGATCTTTCTTGTTGTGGTGGGGGAGGGCTATATAAGAGATATATTTTGTGGGTCTTTTTGTTTATTTGCATTTTTGTCTTTTTTGTGATTTGTTTTTCTTTCTATATAAAAGCTTTTTTTTCCTGTCAAAACTAAAACCCAAAGAAAATGCCTCACTAGCTCTGTATTATTCTGTATTGTTATGTTAATGACTGAGCTTCAAGCTACAGACAAATGAGAAGTAGGCAGCAGCTCTAGATGTTTCAGGAGATTCTACCACAGGTAATAGTAATAGCATTAAGGGGAGATTCAGATAAACAATATTAAGGGAAGTGTCCACTTCTAGTTCCATGGCACATTTCCTGAATTTCAGGAGCAAAAGTGTATATGAATAATGCTACTGAACATGCACTGTTGCCAAAATACAGGGGGTTTTGTGTTGGTACCTGTTTTGAGTAGATGAGACAATGACTCTACTGCTTTTTCCAGAACTAAAATAGTAGCTTGGGAGAAGACCTGAACTTTTCTGACTCATGCTGCAAATTTATGTAAAAAGTATTTTTCCATCCATTTTGGAAGTGGTTGGGATTGCCATGTGTGCTTACTACATGGATTATTGCTAACACTGGTAGATGCTTTTCCTTTTGTATTTGTCTTAAACTTATGCTGGATTCTATTGTGTTATTTTTGGGACATGTGTGTATTTGTATTTCTTCACTTAACAGTGTCTTCTCCTGCCTTACAGACTGCACTGTTTCCTCCTTTTGTTTTAGGTAAGTAATTTTTTTTGGTCTCAACAATACTTTGCTGATAAGAGGCTAAACACAAATATTTATAACACTGAACAATGTGTGGAGTTTCTGGCATAGACAGTTCTGCCTTCTGGATTAAAAGCATGTGACAAAGGTGGCAGGGGGAAAATCCCCAAACAGAAGAGTTTAAGATTGTTCTTATTTCAGTTTGTTGCGTCATAACCTTACTAAGAGAATCATAGAATGGTTTGGGTTGGAAGGGACCATAAAGACCGTCTAGTTTCGATCCCCCTGCCATGATTACGAACACATTTCACTAGACCAGGTTGCTCAAAGCTCCATCCAAACTGACCTTGAACACTTCGAGGGATGGGGCATCCACAGTTTCTCTGGGCAACCTGTTCCAGTGCTTCACTACCTTCACAGTAAAGAATTTCTTCCTAATATCTAATCTAAACCTACTCTCTTTGAGTTTAAAACCATTCCCTCTTGTTCTATCACTACATACCCTTTTAAAAATAACAGTAATAAAAAGTTGGAGATAAGAAAGTAGCGAATTTGCCCCCAAGACTATGAAATGAATCTGTGCTTTTAGTTCAGTAGAGTCAAATAAGATAAAATAAAGCAGTTTTTAAAAGGTGACTGTGGAAATGACTGGCTTAAGTATTAAACAGCCATATTTAACATGACCATTTTAGATGGGACTTGGATTTTATTTTCTCTAACGCATCATTTCTTGTAGATCCTCAAATTAATCCGCTGCACAGTGTTCTTTGAGAATTCAAACAGCCTGGATGTAACTTGAAACTTTGGATCATGCTTTTTTTTTTTCCCCCTCATAATTGCTGAGTAGAGAGGTGGCAAGTAGGGTAGTGTGCTGTGAGATGTGACTCTCTTTGAGTGGCAGAAGGGTAAAGTGATCCCTGTGTCTTTGACCCTGGGCTGTCACAGGGGACAAGGTGGCCTCTCTCCAGGTTGTGAAAGTTACAGGGGTGGCAGTGAGGGTCTGGCAGAAGTAGATCCATAAGGTCCTCTGTCCTTTCCCTGTGGGAGCTTCATCATTAGCAGCGTGCACCCAGAAGCACTTAGTGTGGTACATGAGCCCTTGCACCCTCCTTCGCCCTCCAGCACCGCTGAGTCCCAGGTGGTAAACTGGCTGTGCAGTGACCTGCTTGCTCTTTGTTGAGAGTCAGTAACAAGTTGTGTCTTTATCTCATTTTGATGTTTGCATTCCATGTTTGTTCCATACTTCACATACATTTTTACCCTATGTGAAATGTTTCATACCAAAATATATACAATAAAGGAGTGTGTGATGAAGTGTTTACTCCTTCCCATTTGAGGGAGGTAGGAAAGTATTCAAGTAAGCACAGAGATGTTCCTCTATGCAAAAGAAAAAGTGGCTTTTGTATCTCCACAGAACCAAAGTAATGCTTATTTTAATTAAGAGGAAGGACTAGACCTATCTCCTGGATAAAAGGAAATTAGTTTAGAGATAAAGATTAAATCTTTGTGGATCCCTAGAAGGACTTCAGACAGGGCATTGGCTAATGCCTTGAGAAGAGGTTCTTTTGTTCTTTAATGCATACAAACAGGTGTGTGGGGGCATGCAGCTAGACGAAATATTGGGTGTCAGGAAAACCTGTGGGAAGTCTTTTTAAATAGAAAAGATCGTTTTGATTTGGCTTTCCTTCAGACCTTTCCCCCCACATATCGTTCTACACATTTTTAACATGTTCTTAATTTTCAGATGTTGTGGGAAAAACACCCAAATCCAACACCTTTTGTTTGTATTTGATCTTACCTTTAAATAACTCTTGAGCCAGATTTCCTAGAAAGTGTAGTCTTTCTGTCTCAAAAAAATTTTACAAATTTGAGCTGAGTTAGTTATTTGGGTGTTCTCCAGGGTACACAAAGAGGGGTAAGCACACAGCATAAATCTCAGCTCTGTTGCCCTGCTCTTGCTCACGTTGCAAGAGGTGGAAGATGCTCCTCTGAACAGGCACTATGAAGACTCTTCAGGAAGATACTAAGAGTACTTGAAACCTAAGGGTTCGCAGGGAAGTCTCCCATATCTTCTGCCAGGCTGGCCAAGGTAGATACAAGAGATTAAAATTTAATTGTGTTCAGTATGTACAATTACAGCATTTTCCTCCACTATGATTCTCAAGGGAAGTAGCTCTTCTTACTTCATAAAAATGCCAGAAGGACCACTGCTGTCTTCTGATACAGGATGGTCAACAGAAAGAGGAGCTGCAGTTGTTTGAACCTTGGGCACTGTCACTGCACACCATTCCAGTAGCAGTTGCTCTGGTCTATTCAGATACCAGAGCCTCATTATTCTCTGTTGCAGGTGGGAGTGGAAGGCTTAGACAAAGTTATTAATTGCCAGTACAGAAAGGTACAGAAAGGACTCCTTTGCTTTCTAAATTCCTTCTCAGAGAGGAATCTAGGTGAGGCTGAATCCTATCTTAGCCTCAGATTAACAATTTAAATTTAAAGGAATTATAGAGGTATGATTAAACAACTTTGTCCTGCAGGTTTTAATGATGGTAAAACACATATATTTATATAAATGAATTTACTATGACAAATTAACAAACAGGTGAACGGACAAAAGATCTTAATCAGAATTATTTACTACACAACATAAACGCTAAAAATCTACTAGCAGAGTATAATATAGCATGAAGTACTATAGTGCATTGTAACAAAGCAATTATTGAAGCAGTTATATTAAAGCTAGTGAAAAGAAATAATTATTAAGTAGAGATCTGAGGTAACACCCACACCAACACTTGTGGGGAGATCTCTTTCTCTCAACCTTGAGGAGTAACCTTGGGGGGCATCCCCAGCCCAAGGGAGGAATCTCCACACATACACCCCAACAAGGGTTATGCCAGAAGAACCTGATTGCACGAGAGGGGACTGGATGTTTGTAGTATAAAGTAATTGACTGCTAGTCACACATTTACAGGCCAGCTATCAGCTTTTCTGTCAAATCAGACTTCAAAAAGCAGGGTGTGTATTCAAATTTTGATGAACCAGGATTGTTTTAGCACAATTAACACCAAGACAGCACCTTGGCTGCAGCAATTGATGCTGCATGATAGCTTGCATGATAGCTTGATTGGATTTTAGGTCTTATCAGGGTGGGTCTTTCCTGCCACATTCTCACTGGACATTTTCCTAGGTATAGGCACATGGATGCATTTTTTCCTTTTGGCAAGATTGTGGCTTTGAATATTCACATACAGTTGGGTATCCACCTCCTCTTTTTGCAGTCTCTATTTCCTAGGACAGTGACTGCATCATTCCTACAAACACTGAGACATTGGGTACCTATGTCACTTAACATCGGTGACCCTCCTCTAATTCTTCAGTAACTTACCATTTGCTGTTCTGCATATTTTTTTGTAATCTAGAAGCTTTAACAGTAATTTTAGTAACTTACTGTGTACTAAATGGTAATCTCAACTGTTTGTTTTGCTTGAATAAATAGGAAATGGAGCATTATCAGAAGGGCTTCAGCAGAATGAAAAACAATAAAACAGTGTTCTCTTTCCACCTGACAGGATACATTTAAGATCCAAACCCAGAGAGCCTTTTTGGATTTTTACCTTGCTGATGACAGCAATATTTGACTTGATATCCAGACACTGGACATTGCAGAAGGAATATTGGAGGTAGTGGCTATCTAGAATTGTGTTGGAAGTTTTTATTTTTGGAAGTGGGAAAAAATGAATATAATTTCAATTAAGAAAGGATAAGGCTCTCTATCTGAAGCCACACAAAAGTATCTTCATTGGGTTTTGAGGGGCATAACGTACCAGAGGGGTGGGAGGCACTGCTGATTTTGCAGATGAGCTTTTTTGGTTCTTACATTTGTCTATAACTAACTTCTTCCTGAAGTTACATGGCCTCTACTTCTACAGCATTTAGATGTCAAGTTCAGGTTTCCATCGCATATTATAGAATCAGAAAATATATGAGGACCCATTCTTAATTAAGCCCACTTTGGTTTGGCACAGCGAGGATGAAAGTACTCAAACACTGAAGTCAGAAACGATGGTCTGGTGTTCACTCATGTCTCAGCTGGCACGCTGCTGTTAAAACTGAATGCACAACTGATGCGTCTTGTTTTTCTGCTTCTCCTTTACTTGTGTTGTGTCCCTTGGTGCTTGCTGTGAAACTGTGGGACTTCCTTTGCAGTGTTGGTGCAGTTCTAATGCTGGCTCTGGGATGTCCATAACAGCTGTTGCAACACACAGAGTAAACAATCACTAGTTACACTTGGAAACCAGTAGCAACCGAATATTGTTTAAACAACTGTCTGGCTCATGCTTGAAACTTTCAGCTGGAGTTCTCTTCTTGTGCCAGGAGAGGAGGAGCAGCAGTGGCTCTGCATATTTTGTGTATTTGCACGTGTATGTGTGCATGAGCACATAGTTCCTAATCTTAACAGCAATAGCAGAGCGTACGCCTGCCAGGTGAATGCTGCTCTTTGTCATGGGATTCTGAAATTTCCTCACATCGTACATAAAATTTTGTACTGTGTTTCTGTTGTGCCTTTGAACAAATCTGAGTTTGTGAAGGTAGTTCTCAACTGGCCATACGTACAAGTGAGCTGAACATGTATTTGCTGTCCTCTGTCAAGCAAATGTGCGTTAGTCTGACCACAGAACATACACTCTGCACAGTGCCCATAAGCTGGGTAAAACAAGGTGACCCCTTGCTGGCTTTGTTCTGCCATGGGGTTTGCACCACCTGAGGCAACGTTGGGGCTGGTTCTTCCAGGAGGAGCAAAGTGTCAGAATTGACCTTAGACCCCTTAACAGGAGACTTGTAAGGTGGGAGATGCTGAAGGCAAAAAGTATTAGGGATGGCAGGGAGATAGGAATTCTGATTTGGGGAAGAAGTAAGGAGACATTTTTAGATAGGAGACTTGCATAGGTACATTGAGTAAGGAAGGGATTTTCTAGTATACTTAAAAAATACCAATGGTTTGAGCTTGATAAACTTGTTAGTTTGCAGTGTGTCAAGGTAATTTCCAAGCCAGACAGTGGTGTTTTAAGTTGCTTTTATATGTGTTTAATGTTTGTGTGACATTGTAAAGAAACAATAGCATTTAAAATGCTGCAGACACCATTTCTTCTCTTATGGCCTTAAAGATGATATAGGAATTTTGAGAATTATTTAGCTCCTGTAAATTGCCACTATATTCACTGCTCTTTTGTGGTGGAGTTAGTTTTGCAACCATCATTCCCTAGTATCCTGCTGCTCAGGCAGCATATACCAACTTTTGCTTTGATCCAAAAAAGAAAACAAATCAAAATCATACTAAATCTGAGATGTGTGACTGCCATTCCTTGGAAACACCATCTGACATGCTTAGTGTTACGCTACCAAGGGATAACACATCAAAGGTCCGTGGCTAATTTCTTGAAGTAATTTGTGGGGACTGCACAGTGGCAGAAAGAATAAAAAGTGTTGCTGCTAATATTCAGATTTTTGTCTTTCGTGTTTGGACTTGAGAAACTTTCTTCCCATCATACCTAGTTTCTGAATGGACTGTGAGGCAAGGGATTTTTATGCTTTGCTGCCCTCTCCGGTAACAGGCCTGATATTAACAAGGATAAGGAAAACCTCATGAATGTGGTTTTTCAATTTTAACTTGGAACAGTCTTTTCCAACCTATATTTAGCTTGATGTCTACTTTTTCCCATGCACAAAAACATGTCTGCTTTTTAAAACACCTGATGCGGCTGGAGAAAACCCTTCTGAACTGTGGAGATGAGTGAATTTACAATGGTGTTGCTGTGACACAGAGCTTGAAGTTTTGGGATTGGCACCCTCTGGAAGAAGACTGAAAACCAGTACTTCCAGTTTAGACAAAGAAAATCCAGCCTCTCTGACCAAAGCATGAATCCTCTAGCAGGTTGCACAATCTGTCAGATGAGCTATGGCAGGAGTATTCTCAGGGCTAGGGAGTTTTCTTATAATCGCCACACCACTTTTCTGAGCAAACTCAGGAGATTACAGCCACTGCAAGATTTAGGAATGCTCTGATGGTACTGTGCTCTTTCAGGCTATGGAGCCTTAACTTATGCTTTGATTTTTCAGAACATAAATCAGAATAAGACAATTTCCCCAATCTGATTCAGCAGTTTCTGCACTCACTTCTGCCTGATTTTTCTATTCCCACTATCCCATTGTGCAGCTAGTCCTGCAAATGATTTCTGCATTTTCGGTTGATGCTACTTCTGCCCTCTTTCAGAGAAGTTGTAGAGGAGCCACAGCAAACTAAAACAACCCATATGTCAAGTCAGACAGGACTTTTTCTCCTTCTGCAGTATCAATAATGAAAGCTCAACAGAGCTCAGGTCTGCTCTTGTTAGAAGTCTTCACACAGAAAGTTATAAGACTGGTGCTTTCAGTAAAGGGGTAGGACTTGTAGATATTTCCTAGAAAAACAAGAGGACTCTAACAGCTTGGAAAAGACACAAATCCTGTAAAAATACATATTTGTGATGCTCATGAGCAATGCAGTTAGCTGAGAGCACACAGTGTTCACTGTACAACAGGATTTGAGGATTTAGTAGTAATGACCTGGAATAACATGGTAGATGCCCTGCATTAGAGGATACGTGGCATGGCAGTAGTATACATATTCTATTCTATTACATTTTTATGTTCCTTTGAAACTTATGAATCTTGTCACAAATTCAAATGATGGAATATGGGAGTGGTTATATTTGCATTTAAATGAGCAGTTAAATGGGTCATAAGGGAAAATTTAAAAACAATTAACTTATGTTAATAGGTATTGAACATTTCTTTCTTATTCATTCTAATGGATAGCTAAGATTCTGACCTCTGTTTTCAGAGGTAACACTGTGCAAGATGTCAAGTGAATTAATAAAGTATTTTAGCTTATTTTTTTTTCAGGATCATGATGACAGTGTTCTCCCTGTTAAGTTTTACAAGGTGCTTAACAGCCCTCCCTTGGATTATTTTGGTTTGCTTGTTTGTTTGTTTGTTTGTTTGTTTCTTATTGGCTGCAGTGACTGAACCTGGAATCTGAACAGATCCTGCTCAGGCTAAAAGACTCATTTGATCTGATAAATTTCCTCAAGCCCTCTCCTGATATACCTTGGAAAGAGTGGTAGTGGGGAACTACATATGGTAACAGATAGTGTGGTGCAGGCATGAGATTTTCACATATGAATATCATCCCTTTGAGTTTACAACTCAAGTAGCAAATTTTCCACATGGGAACTATTGGGTGTATATTTGGGGTAGGCATTTAATCAGACGGCCATACCTACATAGTTCTTAATTTACAGATCACATGCTGAGTTTAACAACGGGACAAGAAACCCTTTTGTTATATTTATAAACAATGTTTGTAGCTTACTTTCCTTCATATCATGACATGTTTCTTTTGTTAACTGACAGAAACTTCAGTTTAACCGTGATGTTACTAAACAAGCTGTAAGTCAGGGTTGTGAGTCTCTTCATGGTTATAAAACGTGAAGAGGCTTTTGCGTCCTCGTTGGTCTGTTGATGTCCTGTTTCCCGTGTGGGGGGCACGTGGGTTAGGCTGGATCCAGGCCTGTGACTGGGATAGGCTCGGGCCACATCAGGGCAGTGAACAGTCTTTGGTGTTGACTGGAGTAAAGTTAGGCATTGCAGTCATTTAACATATTTCAGTCTTTTCACTGGCATGGAAATATTAATGCTCTTCTAAGCGCTTTAAGATGAAGGTCCAGTCATAAATTCAGGCTTACTTAGTGAGGTAGGAACTTTACAGTCTGTGTCTATTTTATTTATCATTCCTCTGCCCCCTTCATTCTGGCTGTGAAAGATATCTCTGAGCACACAGAATCCCTGGCAGTTGCTGTGTCCCAAATGTGTCTTATACTGCAGCTTCAGATGGATTTATTTTTGCCTTATAACCAGATACGATATAACCAGATACGCAGGAGAACAGAAAAGTTTTCAATTGATTACATTTCCATGGAACTTCAATATTCCTCGGAAATACAAGTCCACCTATTACCCACAGTCTGCTGCCAAAAAACTGGTTAGATGCTCACATGCTTAAAAAGGCATGTTTAAGTGTTCTGAATCATCATATTGGCTTAAAAATAAATGTTTATAAGCTTAGGCCTTTACACTTAGGTTTTTTGAAAAAAAGTGAGCAGGAAAGCAGAGATCTTCAAAGGGTGTCGTGCTTTTCTAGCTGTACATTTGTTATACTGCTCGTCTTGTGTTCTGTTCAAGAAAAACAAAAACACCAGTCCTGAAAGCTTGCATCCACGCGTCCTTTGAAATCCATCCTGCTTAGCAGTGTATTGAGTGAAAGATACTCTATAAGAGCATAGTCTAAGGAGTAGAGATGTTCTGTAAGTAATAGAGCTATGTAGGTTAGACTTGGAGAAGTGAGGAAGATAACTAGCTTGTACCTTACTTTACCCCAGATGCTTTCTTTACCATTTCTTGTTTTTCTTCTCTAAAAGCATGTTGCTAACCGGCACTAACTGATACATGAAAGGAGCTGGGCTATTTCAATAGATTTTACCAAATATCTCTGTGTTTTTTCTTCTTTTCACAGTGGTGAAAAAAGTGGAGGACTTCGATCTTCCTTATGTGAGTCTTCAGAGCGTGAAGGACTTGCACTGCAAGCTTGAGATCAGAAAGCAGTGAGCAAGAAGCTTAAGAGAAACTACTAAAATGCATGACAACTACTGTAAGCAGAGAAATAAATCCCTTGAATAACTTAGTTACAAAATCTTCAGGCTTCAGCAGCTTGACTGTTCTTTTTCTGAGGCCAATTGTTAATTGGAATTGACTGGTTTCTGTGGCCCTGCATGTTTTAGATTTTATCACTGTAGTATTCCTGAAGGGTTCTTTACTGTAACTAGCTATTTCCTCCCTCTCTCTTTCAGAATCTATAGAGAGGTGTTTTGAGCTGCTTGCCTCCTAATTTTTATACCTGCATAATTCAGTGACCACAAATAGGAATACACCTGTAAACAACATAGAAGAGAACTTTGAGTTCTGAGTTGCAAGCTGACCCTCTGGGCAGAGATGGATTACTTTTTATCTGAAGTGCTCATTTCTATACACTAATACACATAATACCTGAGGCCATAGCTTGAGCATTTATTTTGGTAAGTGGCCTGGCTTAAACAGTAGAACACTCTTGCCCTTTCATTCATGCCTTGGGCTACTCCTCAGTTATGCTGGTGGAACTGTGTGGGCAAAGAGTGGTGAACTGGACTGGCAAGCTAACCTGGCCTAAAAGTAAGTTGCTGGCTGTTTATTTTTTATTTGATTTTGATGGCCTATTTTTGGCCCTAGTCAGCACCCCAGTCCTGTTTGCTGTGCAGCAAATGATGGTGCTGAGTTGTGGGTGAGGATAAATCCTGGGGATTGGGATTCTGGTGCCAAAGTCCCATTTGTCAGAGTGCCCTGAGGGTAGAGTTAGGCAGAACAGCAGGGCCAGCCTAATGGCTCACTGCTGCAGTTGTGCTCTGTTCTACTTCTCCCTACAATGAAAAAAGTAAAAAAACTATGGACTTTTGCTTGCTCAGTGAGTTGTATTGGTTGCATCAGATGAATGAATGGAGCAGAAGAGGAAGAAAATACCATGTCTTTTTGGTGGCAGCAAGCAAGATTACTTGGCTTGGAGGTAAACAGAAACCTGTTGTTTGATGTTGGTAACTTGTCTGGTTTAAATCTACTGCGTCAGAGCTTGGCCTCTACAAAGCTTTCTCTGTTTTCCTGTTTGTGTCCTTATAAACTGCAGAACCCAGCAGTCCAATGAAAGAACTGTGTGGTTCTAAGCTGTGGCAAAGTGGCTATGTCTGAGTAGGTAATTCTCCATCTAGCAGTGCTTCAAGCCCAGAGGTGTGCTACAGGACATGTGACCCCTGTGCAGGGTGATAAATCCATGGAGTGATACTGGCCTTTGAGCCTTCACTTCTTTGGTCATACTGTCCTGGAGACTTGCCTAAGCTGCTTCAAATCAAATGGCTCAAGCAGCAGTATGGTAACTGGATAACTGAATATTTAACTTGCTATGTTGCTGCACTGATCTGAACCTACAGCAGCTGGTACTGCAGCTAGCAAGCTTGAGGCTAGATCTTGCACGGCAAGATCCACTGCAGCACATGGCAGTGGATGCTCTGAGAGCCTACCAACTACTGTGTCCAGAATCACAAAGCTGTTTGAGAAAAGAAAGAGGAAAGTTTTAGTTCTGAGTTGTAACTTTCATGTTTGGTACCACCAAAATCAAAGTGTAGAGACTGGATAACCTGACTCCACTTTATTTCCTTTCTGCTACAATGTATAAAGAATGAATACAGTACATACTTCAAAAGCATAACTGTTTTTTGATTTGTTGTGGAGTTTTTTAATCTGCTAAGTAATGGGACCTTTCTGGATTGTGTTCCCGTTTTATTTAGCTGAAAAAAAACCAAACCACCATGTTCAGAAGCATTTCTTCATGTTTTATTACTTTTTTCCCTTGCTTGAAAAAGGTATGTAGATCCTTCTCTTGATATACTGCTTATGGACTGTAGAGCTTCACTGAACTTGCTATATATGCAGGTAAAACTGAAAGGACTTTATCATTTTAAAAGTTACCTTTCCCACACTGAATTAATCTTTTATACAAATTCTTGACATATCTGTAAATGGTTCCTGCTGTTGGCACTGCTTTGTGACACTTCTCCAAGTGCTGGATATAGCAGTTGTTGGTTGTGGGTTTGTTGGTGGTTTTTTTCCTCCTTCAAACTCTTGTGCCAGAGATTCTAACTCACCTATGTTTTGTGCATGGGAAAAATATTGCACCAAAAGGACATACTTAGGTATCTATCTACTTTATTTACAAGGGGATATATGTATATGTATGTTCTTAACATGTAGGCACTCTGCCATGATATGAGAGCAGTTGGTTTCTGAATTGTAGGTGTGTCGAGTTATACTGGCTTTGGAAACTATTAATTCCTGAGGAAAGAACTGTGCAGAATGAACTTGCCCTAAAATCAAAGGCTTTGTTTAAAAAACCAAAACAAACCACAAGCTTTCCATTTCTATGTGCGTGTGTTTTTGAATGCTTGTGTGAAAGGAAATAAATTTTTGCTGACTTTCTTTGCTATTTTTAAAAATTCTTTTAAGGCAATCCAGGAAGCTGAGAGGAATTGGGTTAAACCCACAGAAGAGCAGATGTAGGAACTTAAATTTCCACAAAAAAATGCAAACAAAGTAAAGGTGTTTTTAAAAACAGTTCAAACAGATCAAAGGAGTGTTTTGGGGTTTTGGGTTTTTTTAAGAAATTATACTAGGGGCTCTGACTTCAAAAACTTTTGTGGAGTGGTTTGAGTTAGAGACCCAGGTGTCCCATCTCCTGGCCAGAAATCGAACCACCAAATAGAAAAGGAGGTTCCCACCTCTATTAGTGTTTTTTTAAAAATACCAACAGGATGAATTTGATCACAAGGGCTGGCAAGAAGTTTTGGACTGAGCGCTATTTTTCTCTATTTGCAAAACTTAGATAGTAAAGTTTGTCATCCAGTTTAGGCAATCAGATGAGAATTCAGACTGCTGGGACTGCTGTTCACAGTATTACTTACTTGTTAATTTTATCTCTTCCTATCATCATATCTGATAAGCATCCAAAGGACCCAGCTCATCATATCCTGTCAAAAAAAAAAAAAATCCAATTTCTAACTCTTGCCTATGAATACTATTCTCTGAATCAAGCACTGACATATTGTGGTGAATCTGTCTTTCCAGAAGAAAGAGTATTAGGAATTTCAAAGATTTGACTTACAGCCTTTTTTATTTTCTTTGTTTGTTGGAAGTGTTTTTCTTTTTTTCCAAATTTCTAGACTTACTTGCCTTTACAGCAAATTACATTAGTTCTGTATTTTTGATGCAGTTCCTGGAGCAGATTTGAGAAATGCAGTTCTATGGATACATACAGCTTGATCCTTGTATTTGTGACTATCCAGAAGAAGGCTGCTCAGGTGACATCCATGTCAGCAATGATAAGATTAACTGCTGCATAACACTGCCTACTAACCAAATCAGAGGTCAGCTTTAAAATCAACAGATTAAGAAGCTGGCAGGTTACTTTTTGTGTAAGTACTTTACCGACTTTTTATCTGAATTCCCTTCATCAAAACTAAGGTTGAAAGGGAAGGTCTGGGGAGAAAAGGGTGATCTGCTTTAAATCCCTTCCACTTGTCTATATCCCCCTCCCAGCCTATTCTGAAACATATTCCCTTGGCAGCCTCTACAGCAGCAAAACATCTAGCCTTACTCTGCTGTTTTCTCCCTTCCCTAGGATTCCACGTCATACTTTACCTGCCCCTTTCCTTTCTTGTTGGAGGTAGAGTTGACAGAGTTTTGTGAGGGAGCAAAAGAACTGCTTTAGCCAACTTTATGCTTGCAAAGACTCTCCCTTCCTACCTACCACTTGTTTCCTCCCATAGAGGAAGTGCTCTGCTACAGACTTTCAGCTGTTTCATATGTATACTGTATAAAATGAACCTAATCGACTAATTATGATTTAAGGCTGAACACCTTAATGCTGGTTTTAGCTGCTTTTTCTGTTCATTGACTGGGGTTTTTTTTGTTTGGTTTTTCTGTTTGTTTGTTTTTCCAGGGTGCTACAAAGGATGGTGAAGAAGACACACTGAAGCCTAGATTTGAATACAATGACTCAGGCACATGGCAGTGGATAATTTTGTACACAAAACAGGTTAGTTCTCAATCCTCTTAGGAAAGCATCAGAGTAAAATGTAATCTCAGCAAGGCCCAGTCATGCTGAGGCTGGGCCATAAGAAACTGCAACTTGATTGGTGCATTGTCAAGCACAGAGTAAAATTAACTGTGTCAGAGAAGTGATAGTTCAATAGTTAGGAACTGTAATTTTCTGGTGGAGAAGGAATGGAAGAGTCAACTACATCTTTTAATAGAAGAAATCAGAATGTTCTCTGGTTTATCCTCTTCAGCCCTTTGCGCTCAGTAGCTGCTTGAAGAAAATGGTATCAGAACAGATGACGAAGGCAGCCAAAGGCCAAGAAATGGTAAGCATGTGTGTATGTTGGTATAGGAATCTGTATTTAAAAAGAAATAAACCTGCTACTCTATCACTCTTACAACTGTGCTAGGGAAGAACCACTGAGGAAAAGTATCTTGCATGTTCCAAAATTTCAGTACAGAATTAATTGACTAAAAAGCAGATCTTTTCTCTGTTTTACTGAAATAATGTTCTGAATGTTAAAGACAGTTTCTCATCATAGTTTTAATAATATGTTTTACATTCTCTCTCCTTGACTTTAATTTTTATTGAAGATGATAAAGGATGTTGATGGCACAATTTTTTGTGTGTTCTGCACTACCTTGTTGTATCCATTTCTGTCTTTCACTTTTCCCCCACTTCACTTACTTGCTCCATCTGTTGCAATGTTAGACCAAACTGAAATCCGTGACGTTCACACAGGGAAACTGTTTTAAATAGAAGTGTTAATAAAGTGAAAATCTGATTTGTAGCTAAGATACTTCTGCCTTTTTTGTGGGCCTTTCAGGAGGGAAATATATGTTTAGATACTTGTTATTTTTTAAAATAATTCCCAGTATTAGTAATGTCTTTGTTTAATCTTGTGATATCTAGAGATTTTATCTGCCAACTGAAAACTTCTGAAGAGAAAAAAGGAAAGGAAAATGTGTGATCTTCTAGGCCCAGTTCATTTCCTGCACTGTTGCTTCTGGGTGTGACTGAATGCTGATTTGCTCAGCATATTTTGTGGCAGTACTTGGGGTAGCATTTCAGCTTATTCTAAGTTTACATTTGTCAATCTGTTCAGCAGATCAAGATGCCTGAATCAATGAAAAATAGAAATAAGAAATTCAGCATCCAACAAAAGCAGGTTAGCGAGTGGGAAATTGTCTCCAAAATGTAAATACGGTGTGTTCTTGCTTGCTACTCTTGTTTAGGCCAACATCTGTTTTCCTGGTTAGGGAAACTCCTAAAAAACTTTATGAGAACCTCCTTGAGTGGAAAAGGGAGCTAAATTTGAATTTTGGAAGGAAAAAGAGAGCAAGAAACATGTCTAAATAAAACTTTTATTTTAGCTTGATGGGTTTAACAACAACTTGTTTAATTTTATTTCTTATTCCAAGTGTTTCTGAATGACATATTTGAAATTTGCAGAAAGACAATATATACAGAGATCAGGTGTGTATATCCACATGCAGCTGCTGGTGTGGTTTACAGACTTGTACTTACATTATACACTAGAACTTTTTATGCGTTTATTTTCCCCTCTAGTTGGGAATTGCAGCCATTTGCAAAATTTAATATATTACATATCCATACATAGACATTCCCATCACATAAAAGATGCAATTCCAAGTTCATTTGCTGGTATCTGTATTCCTTGCTAATAGTTCTTGAATAGCTAAATGACTAGAAGCTGCTGCTTTTTCAAGTCATTTGCTGAATGAAAGGCAATAATGTAAAGTGGATTAAAATAAATACTTCTATTACAGTGTGTGATTGGCCAAACGAGAAATATTTCTAAAAGAGAACCCCCAAATTTAATCTGAATTCAGAAAAAAAGTGATGTTGCTGTACACTCAGAAACCATAAAACCAGTCACTAACTTCTCTTCAATAAGCAAACGAATTAACATTTGGGCTGGGTTCTCCTGCCCCTTTCTTTGAAGTGCTCTGCACTTGTCGCTGCTGGAGGTTCCGTGTGGCCTTCAGCATCCACAAATGACTTGCAAATGTCTTAAGGGAGACAACATTTTCTGACTAGACTTGCATCTGGGATGGAGACTGAAGGATGCGTTTTCGCTAAGGTGAAACTTCAGCAAGGACTAAGTTGCACAATACGCTGGCCTTGAGGCAATTGCTCTGACCTGAACACACTTGAAATATTTTTTTTTGTGAGAAAAACAGCCTTGGCAGGGCAACATAAAGCCACTGATCTTATCAGCCATGTCTGGCTGCTGGTACAAAACTCAGTGAACTAAGAAAATTACAGTTGAGAATTAAGAAGGAGGTGTTAAAGTAAGTCAAGGTGTGCTGTTGTGTTAAACAGTGATAGTATGGAATGCTATCCCTCATTTTATACAGCAAATTTGAAGTGGTTTAGGTCTTTGTGCACCAAGCTGTGTTATTAGAGAATTAATATAAAATTTTAAACCAGGCTTAACTAAATTCTAAATGCTGTGATCGCAGTATTAGGGTTCATAAGGTTTTGCTTTGCTATTCCTCTATTTTTCTTTGCAAGATGCTTGAAAAATGTATTAAGTTTCTTTTTTACATTCTCATTTTAAAAAGTGTTTTTGAGTTGAGTTGTTATAATTTTGCCATTAGCATCTACAAGAGTCTTATAAGCCTTTGCTCTGAGTTGGCAGAAAGTTTAACTGATGCTGTCCAAAGACTCTGAAAACTTATACCAAATATTTTCTGCTGACTCATGAGAAGAAAAGCTTAACTTTTGTTTTCTTTGTGATCCTACAGGAGTACACTGATACTACTGGATCAGCATAACAATCTGAAAATTCTTGTCTGAATAGACAACCTAGTGCAGCAGTAAGATTTAGTGGGAAAATGAAGAAGCAGAAGGTGGAGTTCGCAGATAGTGAGGCTGTGATGCAGAATGTGCCCACATCTAGGCAATTCTCCTCTTGTGTCTTTTAGAAATCTTGAAAAAGGCATGAAATAACTCATACAGAGATAATGCATGCAAAACTTGGTTTCAGTTTTCTTGATGTTGATTATTGCAGCACTGTTGCCATAGCTTCACCATAGACACTTTCAGTAGGGTTTTTCAGGACATTTACTTTGCAAACATGAAGAAAAACCTGTGCTACAGATTTTCCTTATAAAACAGAAAACTGCAGACACATGCAATGGAACTGTGTAGTTTGTCTGCTGGGTGATATGGTGTCCTAGTTAGGACAACTGAGACCAGTTCATCATGGCATGGGTGTAACCCAAAACTGTGTATTCTATAGCCTTCCATGCCATTTCCCAGAAACTGTTGTGAATAGACTATTCACACCCTCTGCCCATAGAGCCTGACTCCTCAGGCTATAAACTAGGTGTTAAGAGGCCTGTGAGATAGGAGGATGCTCTTGTCCTCACACCCTTTGTGGAACTCCCCGCTGTGAGGGAAGCACTGAGCATTTCTGCCTGAACTGGAGGATATATAATCTTGGAGTCTTGGAACATTTTTCAACCCCTCGTGGGATCCAGAGGGAGGCTGCATCTCATCGCTCTCAACCAGATTTAGACCATCACTGGACTGCAATCACCACTTTTGACCAGACTGCAACAGCTCTCCCACCAGCAGGTTCTTCCCCTCTCCCTTTACTTTGGACTCAAGCGGGGCCCAAGGAACACCACTTTGTTCATGCCCCAGGGTACTGGGTCATACATTTGGGTTTTGTGGGTTAAGACCAACTGTTTGTTTGTATGATTGTACTTACTGTATTATTTTAGTAAATTGTTATTCTGACTTATAATCTCTCCTTCGTGTTGAGTTCATTTCCCCTGCTGGTTAACTCTTAAACCAGCACATATGGTATTAGGAAGATTCAGACAGTACATGGTAACTTTTAGGAAAAGTAGAATTGAAAGGAAACACTGATGCAGTTGTTATGCTTAAAGTTAAGAATATGTGATTAACAGTACACAATCTAATTCAGAAGGCCTAGTAGGCAACTAAGGTTCCTATACATATGTCCTTGTGGCCACCACAATGTCAAATAACATGGACGTTGGCATATTTGGAACTGCTGCTCCATCCGTACCCTACCTAGTACATTGCAATAAGCCTTAGAGTAGCAACAACTGCTCTTGTGTCCTGTCCCAGCAGAAGAAAAAGATTAGTTGTCTCTGAAATATCTCAAAGAGATCAACCTGAAATATCTCAGAGATCACCTGAACAGTGAGATTTTCTACCTTATGTTTGTATCTACCCATAATTATTGACATGCATATGCTCTTCTAACTGTTTATTTGTTTCACTGTAGGTAGTTCATTCGGGTTTTATATCAAGGAAAAGATTTTTGGTTAGGCCAAATGAAGGAGACTGTGTATTTGGGAAAATAAGAGAAGAAGACCTGTGATAATTTATTTTAGATACTGTCTTTCAAAATGAGTTGTCTGGAAATAATAAACCCATTGCTGAAGAATTCAATTAAAAGGCAACCCCCCCCCCCAAAACCTTCAGTGTAATTCCTCACCTGTGCACTGTTCTTTAGAGTACTTACAACTCTAGTGAGCCAGTTTGAATGGGTGCTGAGAATCTGGAGGTGTCTTGCATACATGGTTTTTTGGATTTTTTCCCCCAGACACTGTTGGGGCAGAAAAGGGAGGGCTATCTAGAAAAGGTGCTATGATTTTAGCAGAGGGAAAAATTATAATATGTAGGATATACTATAAACATATCAGTTTATAATGTTTCTGTAACTGTGTAATTAGCGTGGTGACTGAGCAGGCTATTTCCACCTAGGCATCGTCTGGGAAAGGCATTTCCTCTGATCCTTCCAAACTGAACAGACTGTTGTGGTGCCCTTATTGAGAGAATAAAGGTGTGAACATGTTCTCTGTCACAGCAGTGAGGAGGGCATGTAAGTAACTGCAACAGAAAGTGAGCTGATTCATATTGGTGGCCCTGGGCAAGCAGATACCCAACATGGTGGCTAAAGGCAGGCACACCATTAACCACAGCAGTAACCTGCTTGCTACTGCAAGAAGACTAAAGTGCGTAAATAATGACACTCCAGACCAGGCTTTAAGGATCTTTGATTCGTCTTACTGTCCTCATTATGAAAGGTAGGATCATGTGTGAGAACAGGGGCAGGGAAGTCAAATAACTTCAACCCACTCCCCCCCATTTACTTATACTCACGGATATAAGTGCTGAAATGATGTGGGGGCAGAGGAACTGTACTTTTACCTGAATTTTTATCTTGCTGATTTTTGTGTTGTTATGGGGATAGCATACACAGAAGCATCAAAATTACAGAGTCAATTAGGTTGGAAAAGACCTCTGAGTTCGAGTCCAACCTGTGATCGAACACCACCATGTCAAATAAACTACAGCACAAAGTGCCACGTCCAGTCTTTCCTTAAACACCTTCAGGGACAGTAACTCCATCACGTCCCTGGGCAGCTCATTCCAATGTCTAATCACCGGTTCTGTTAAGAAATTCCCCCTAATGTCCAACCTATACCTCCCCTGGCACAGAGTGAGGTCACGTCCTCTGATGCTGTTGCGTGTTATCTGGGAGAAGATGCCGATACTCACCTACGACCTCCTTTCAGGGAGTTGTAGAGAGCAATAAGGTCACCCCTGAGCCTCCTCCTCTCCAGGCTGAACACCCCCAGCTCCCTAAGCCGCTCCTCAGAAGACTAGTGCTCCAGACCCTTCACCAGCTCCCTTGCCCTTCTCTGGATCCACTCCGGCACCTCAGTGTCCTTCCTGCAGTGAGGGGCCCAGAACTGGACACGGGACTCGAGGCGCGGCCTCGCCAGTGCCGAGTACATGAGGATGATCACTGTCCTGGTGCTGCTGGCCGCACTGTTTCTGATTCCCTGCCTCCCAGCGGGCCGGCACCGCTCCCCTGGCTCGGCCGAGCTGCGCTGTGAGGGACGGAGGGACGGAGGGACGGAGGGTGCGGGGCCCGCCCGGCGGCGGCGGCCTCCGCCCAGGAGGGGGCGCCCGTTCCGCCCCTCGCGCCCCCCGGCCCGTCCGCCCGCCCGTTCCGGCCCCGAGCGCCCAGAGAGCCCGGGCAGGTACGGCGGGAGCGGGGCCGGGCCGGGCCGGGAGGGCAGGGCCGGGCCGGGGGGCTGGGAGAGCAGGGCAGGGCGATTTCGCCTAACCCAGAGGTGTGCCAGGCCCGGGTGGGGATTCGGGGACGGGCCCTGGGCAGCGCCCGGCCCGGGAGCCGTGGAGGTGGAGCGGGTGATGCGGTTTGGTGGGAAGAGGTTTGGTGGGAGAACAGCGGGAGCAGTGCCAGCCTTCAGAACGGGAAGGGAGGGGAACGGGCACGGGAAAGCGTCCGCCCTCCTGACAGGACGTTGGTAAGTGTGCGGCTTTGGAACGCGCTTTCTAGGTGAAAACAACGAAGGTAAGTGAAACTAAAATACGTATTTCAACCTGTCCTCAAAACTGTCTTTGATAAAGCAATTACTGTTTTTAAGGGAAATGGAGTAGTTCCCGGTTTTTTTCTAGACGACACTAAGGCCATTGCACATTGTTACTGTGCTGAAAAGGTAGGGCTAACACCCGAGTTGTAATGAGGATGGGAAGTAACTGGAGACAAACTACGGTGAGTAATGTTGAATGAAAAATCCATCAAATCTGAGTATCAAAGAGTATAAAATTAGTTCTTTGAAGATCTGTCTTGCGACCAATCTTATTAAATATTTCATAGAGATCTTGAGGTAGCAATTAAAACTTTACTGTCTTTATTTGGCAATGATGAAGAATTGGGAAGCACTGGCAATATAGAAGAGAGTTATGGGACTACACAGAAAGAATGGGGTGATCCTGAGAACTAGAATATGAAATAAGTACTGTAGCAATTTAAAGAATGAGGGTTTACAGTTGTAACCTTGTAAGGAAACAATATACAGAAGAAATTTTTACCCGTTGGAAGCAACACAAAACCAAAGTATGTGTTAGGTAGTTACAAGATATGCAGTGTGGAAAAAGTAGATGCTGACTACAGTGATCCAGTAAAAGAAGTAATTATTGCCCTTGAACAGAACTCTAGAATACTTTGTATAATGTTAATCATTCTCAGGTAAAAAAGTAAAGTGGAACAGGTGCAGGATGTGCCTTGGACAGGTAGGGAAATTAAGAGTCTATTGGAAGAAGCATTTGGCTTTTTTTATTTTGTTTGAATAAAGGCCTTTTTTGCTCTCTATCAAACCCATCAAGGTAAACACTGAGAAGGGAATAAATTGAGCTAAAGAATTATGTTGATACATGAATAATTTAACACAGATTTTAAGATTAATAACATATGAAAATTTCTAACTACCAGAAAGCACTGATGTTCAAGAGCAGCCTTCCAAAAGGTCAAGGAAGAGCGAAAGCCCAACACTTTTTAGATAGAATGTGACCGATATATTCAAATAATGATTTTGTTTGCTGCAGCAGAGTTCTAAGCTTAATGTTACCTGTAGACTATAGATCAGTTTTCCTTTTTTGTTCATTTGTGAAATAGATTATTAGCAAGAACTTGTTAAATATGTTTTTTAGAAGAAAAATATTTTTAGTAGTGTTTCCAGTCTAAATAGTAGGGTTGGTGACAGTCAGAAAATTATGCTGCCTAATTGCTCTCTTTTTGAGTTGAAGAGAAGATGTGAAGAGTAAGCTGAGGGATGAAGTGTAGTATGTACATCTGTCTTCTTACCAGAGCAATGTGAGTTTACCCCTGCAAGAGGGCACTATAAAAATCTGTTCTGATCTGTAATCAGTGACAGATTTCCTCTCAGCAGATTTATATCCTTTAGTTAGAGTTGTCTCATCCGGAAGAGTGGGGATTTGAAGCAGTGCTTTAAGTTGACTGTATTATCCCACCTCATATTCTCGTGCACTTAATGTCAGAACACGTGTGGCCTTGAAGTCCTCATCTGCAGCCCAGGACCCGAGATACCTGCTCATCCAAGGAGTGAACTACTAGTGACTATTCTAGGGATTTGGGTGTGCTGGATATGGGTATTTTGGGGCTCTTGGTGCTCTTGTCTTTTGAGCAGTCTGTCAGTTGATTGCCTCCCACATGATTGCAGCTGTGGATGTTCTGCTTCCAGGTAGGTCAATTAATAAGCAGATAAAATATTTTAGAAGGCATTGGTTTATACACGTTACATGAAATACATGGTTCCCAATGCATTCAGCTTTCTGCAGAGACCATCCACAGAATGCTGTTGGAGTAGACGACAGGCATGTCTTGGGTGCATGGGCTTGTTCCACTAAAGTTCAATTGTCAGTATTTATTGTGATTCTGTCTTCATCTAAGTCAAGAGCAAAAATACTGAAATGGTCAGTTTTGTTGAGGTTTGCTTTGCTATTTAAAGTGATACTTAATAAATATGTGGAAAGAAGTTTTACCTTGCTCAGCACCTCACTGAAGCCATATCTGTTACAGAACTTAGCTTCTGGCTTTGATTCATGTGTCAACACCACTTTTCCAAGTGTCATGTCTTTCTTTTACTCCTCAGTAAAATTTCGATTGGCTGAGTGGAACAGAGCTGCTTAAACACCAGTTTTGTCACTCAGCAGATTTCTCACATCCAACTAGTGCAGCTACAGCAGCTGACTTTTATGACATAAAGTCAAAGACATAAATCCTGCAACGTTTGTTGATGGGGTTATATTCTTCATTGTGCTCAAGACCTCCTATTGGTGTCTGACCAGCAATAATGAATGGTAGCAGAAAAAGGGCAGCAGCACATTTCAGGGAAGGCCTCTGGTGTATGGGTTTCCCATGGATTGTGTAGAATGCTTGTCTGTCTTCTTCATCTCAACTTTTTTTGTTCAGAGAAGTGTTTGCCTGTCTGTGCTGTGTGTTAGTATGTTAGGGACTGGTTCTGCCTGAGTTTGAGTACATCTTCGGAGGATTCCTGCACAGGATTGTAGATACAGCTGATGTGGATTTTCAGGAAGCATCAGAAAAAAGTACTCTGAGGAGACTTGATGCTTATAGCACCTAGGAGATTTCTTAGTTGCAGAAATAGTTGGATTGAAAAGTTAAAAAGAAGACAAAAAGAAATTTCCAAAAAAGGGAAGGGGGCAGAAAGGTGGCACAATGAGCTTCAGTGTGCACAAAGTAGGATGGTATCTTGGGTAGAATAATCTAAACTGTGCTCACATGGTGCTGAACTCAGAACTGACAGCCACCACTCAAGAGAAAGCACTTGGAGTCACCACTGAGTGTTCCCTGGAAACCTAAGCTCGGTGTGCCATGGCAGCCAAAGAGCCAGGAAAATAGTGACTGTCCTCAGAGAGGTAGTGAGAAGAAGACAGATGACACCATTTTGCTGTCATCTGGCACCATTTTGCTGTCATCTGGCACCATTTTGCTGCTCCAGCTTGGTGCACCGACATCTGGGATAGTGTGCATGGTTCTGGTCTCTGCATTGGAAGAAGGATACAGCGAGTTAGAGAAAGGCAACTGAAAGGGACAAGGAGATCAGCTTCCTTAAGAGGAGAGACTGTAAAGTCAGTCTTGTTCACAGAGGAGATGTCTGGGGCATGACCAAGACTTATGAAATGAAGGCAATGGATAAAGTGAGAATTATTCATCCAGTCTTGCAGCCCTGGAATCGGAGTTGCTTGCTGGGGCAGGTGGGAGGGTGGTTTCAGATGGATGTAGGGAAAGATGACATGGGTGGCTGTGGAGGTGGAATGTGGGCAGGCTCGAGAAGGGATTAGAAGGTGGACAATGAGACTCTTGAGGGGCTGTGGTGGCTGCTGGGGTGTGTTTGGGGAATGAACTGCAGGAAGCAGACAGGCTCATGTGCTCTCCCAAAGGATCTCTGATGGCCACTGTTGAAAGCAAAGTGCTGGGCAAGAGGGATCGATCTGATCCAGGACAGCAGTTTTAGTGAACTTATGATCAATCTTTTTCGTGGAATAATTTTAGTTCTGTGGGGTTCAGTTCTGGATTCTGAACTATTAGAATTTCCATGAACAGCCTAGAAAAGGCAGTGAGCAACAAGGTGATAGTATTTGCCAATGCCATGGGTCAGCTATGAAAAGCTGCAGAAGGACCCTGTAAGACTGAGTAGCTGGGTAATATAACATAATGGTACATGACTTCAGTGTAGGTAGAATGATTCAGATAGCATAAAAAGAATCCTAACTTCCTATATGAAATACTGAACTCTCAATAATGAGCAGTATTTTGTCGTTATGATGAATGGTTCCATGAAAATGTAACAGCAGCACTAAGCAGCAGTGAAAAAGGTAAACCAGATAGTGAATACTATTGAGAAACAAGTAAAGAACAAACCAAGGAATCTTGTCATGCCACTGGGTTACTCCGTGGTTCACCAAAAACACTCTGGTCGAGTCATCCCTGGTCTGACTCGCAGCTCAGACAACATGTAGTAGAAATGAGTGATATTCAGAGAATCAAAGCAAGAATGGTCATAGACCATTCCAAATGAGGAATGACCAAGGAAGCTGGGACTTGAAAATTCATCCTAGAAAGGGATGTCTGAGGAGGATAAGATGAAGGCCTGTAGAATCATGAATGGCATGAAAAGAATGGGTAGGGGTCCACTCTCCCTTTTTCCTGCAGGAGATCTGGTAGTCCACAGGTGAAGTTAACAAGGCCCTGATTCAGAAAGATCAAAAGCTGTTGTTTTTTACAGGTAACTGAGTTGGAGAACTTACCAGAGTATGTTGTGGATATTAGAAGTATTTATGTTGATGAGGAGAAAGGGCAGATTCAGAGGTGGAGTCAAATACATATAAACCCTACCCATTTTGAATAGAAAAAGCAGTATTATATATGCTTACTCTATTCTATGTGTTTTCCTGGCCTTTGCTTTTGGCCACTATTTGAAAAATTATATTAGGCTCAAATGGACCTTTGCTGTGATCTGCTTTGGCTGCTTTTATGTTATCTTCCTATTCACAGGAGTAATAATTGACATGGACTTTCCTTTTGCACAATTTCACAATTTCTCTTCATCCTTTCTCAAACAGAACTTGTAAAACCTTTTTAAAGAAACATGAGTATTTCCATTTATTGACTAGATATCGGGTTTCTGTAACAGTCCAATAAAGCTAACACGATCCCATATATGGGGGTAAAAACTGGAATACCTTTATTGAAAACACAAACCACTATTTAAGGGTCTCAGGGGCTTAACATGCTAATAAGGAGGCCACATAGGGGATTCCACAGTCTATTAGCATTTCCAGTAGCAGGAGTGACATGGGGGGGGGGGGGTGCCGGGGAAAGGGATTTACATTTCTCAGATCCAGTATTTACATTTGGGAGAAAAAGGATTTGTTATTTCCAGTAAGCAAGATGATACTGGGGAAGGGTGGTCAGGGAGGGAGAAAACAATGGGATATCTGATAGCGTTATGCAAAGTCTCTCTACATCCTACTGGGGGAGGCAGGTCAATGGATCTTGTCTGGTCTTTTAGATGGTGGGTTTTTCCCCAGCCCCTGTGGCCCAAGGTTTCCTGTTTAATCCTAGCAGTTTCTTTTCTGTTGGTATCCACAATAGGTTTCATGTTGAATATTGAGTCTTTTATAGATAAGTTAGTGGCTTTTGCTAAGTTATCTGAAGGTGGAAGTTTTCCCTGTACAAGTGATGTCTCTTTTGTTTCCAGGCTCAGTGGGATCCATTGATGCAATTGGTAAACCTCAGTTGAGCTACTTTGCTCTCAGGTTCTTTTCCATCATCTTCCATTACATTTTTGGTCAATTCCAGCCTCTCTGCAGATCAGGAGCCTGAGGGTGGCCTCCCTGATTCTCCTCGGACTTGCCTGTTGTCCTGGAAACCCAGAGGCTGCTGGCCCCTTCGGTCCATTAAGGTACTGTGTTGGGCAGACACTATTACTACAGATTTGCCTACCTGGAGAAATTTTTGAGCCTAAGCATGGTGAAATACGAAGCATATGCAAAAATAGCATCAATATGTGTATATTAATTAGAAATACAACCTTAAAAATATTACCATTTCATCTTGCTGTGTCACATAACATGATCCAGTATGATACGGTTAAGTGTTGATAAAGATTTAGAAAGATTATTTGAAACAGCAAATATATCAGCTAACTATTTGTCTTTGACTAACTGGTTTAATGACTTACTGTGTGAACATGAAAATTCTGAGCAGAAATATCTGTAGCAGCAGTCATAGTAAGAGTTGCATATCTGACAGCATTAATTGTCTTGTCATTGGTATTATTTGTTGATATAATTCAATGCATTTTAATAAACAATAACAAATAAATAATAAATAAATAAGTTGCTTAATAAACAATATATTGTTTTAAAGGTAAAGTCAACATACAGCTATCTATAAATTTAGGAGACATCTGCTTTTTAAAGTGACCTGCTTCCGTTCACTAGCCACTAAGCTGGATTTGATGTTGCACACCAAGGCTGTGTCATCAAGGTTATATATGACCAAGAGCATATAAGCAATTATACACATTGTAAGAAAAATATTAAGACAGTACAAACTGTATAGTAATAAGTCATTTGGTGACAGGTTCTTAATTTACTTTATTGCTCTTATTAAGTTCTGACTTCTGATGATTCCAGTTGGACACAGAAAGTTTTTCCCATGTTAATAGGCTTGTCATCTCAGACTTACTATTTCCCTAGGTAAGGACTGGACCTTTTGTGTGTGGGTAGGGGGACAGGTGTTTTGGATTTAGTTTTGGATGTTTTTTAAGAACATGCATAAATGCATAGTTTTTAAAATTAAATACCTTTGTCTTCAGAACTCATATACCAAAGTTCTCATTTCACTAATACAGAACTGGAGCTTGAATGAGATTGGGAATAGCACTTTGGATTGCAGAATGCTTTTTAATCAAATTTTATAAAATCTTATTTTCATGCTTTTCATCATTTCCTTCTCAGGAAAATAGAAAACACCACAAATGTAGAAAAGGTGCTCCGTGTGCCTCCAGGCTTATGCACCACACCGGTACCTAAAGGGAACCTGCGTGAAGGCTGGAGAGGGGCATTTTACAAGGGCATGAGACAAGGGGCAATGGCTTTGAACTGAAAGAGAGCAGGTTTAGATGGACATAAGGATTAAATTCTTTCCTGTGAGGGTGGTGAAAAACTGGAACAAGTAGCCCAGAGAATCAGTGGATGTCCCATTCCCGGCAGTGTTCAAGGCAAGGCCAGGTTGGGTGGGACTTTGAGCAACCTGGTCTGGTGGAAGGTGTCCCTGCCCGTGGCAGGGGTATTGGACCAGGTGACCTTTAAGGTCCCTTGCAACTCAAACCATTTTATGATTCAATGATTCACTCCAGTGGGACAGAAATGTGTCAGTCCACGTGGTGGCAGTGTCCATCCAGACAGGAGTGCTGTACCTCCCTCGGCAGCCTGTGAGCATCGCCAGGAGGGAGCGATCCTTTGTTGCTCAGTTACTCTTGTCTTCTTTTCCAGAGGACTGCTTCGACTCTGCAGCAAATTTAAACACAAACACTTAATTAGGAGTGAACAAATTCTCTCTAGTCTGTTAAAACCCAAAAAATAAACCAATAGCAAAACAATATTCAAAGACCTGTAATATTTTCTTGATCAACATATACCCCACATGTTTCCAGCAGACACAGACAAGGAATTTGAATGAAGGTTTGTGAAAAAGTTGATAATTATGACCAATGTGATTCAATAACTTTCTATAAAAACAGATGTATTCAAGCTGAGCACAATGATCAGAGAAGTACTGCAGTTATTTACTGATTTACCTGAGCCAGTTGTGGAGAATTTAAGTTACAGATGATTTGAAGAAATCTGTAAATTACCTTTCTTCTTAAATAGTTCTTGTGCAGAAGATGAAAAATGAGGAATGTTAAAAAATACTGAGCTATATATTTGATAGAAGTTAAGTGCACTGGAAGATGTAATGCAACTGAATTACCAGTTAAGTATAGGATAAACAAGGATAAAATATTTGGAATCTACTTGTTGATAAAAGATAATTTCTTTCCTATTGTTCCCGTATTTTGCGTACATAAATACACAAAGCTTGTACTGTTTATCTGGGAAAGCATTCTGCAACTCTGGATTGGCATTTGAAATCTTGTATATTTTTTATCTTGTACTGTTGACATACTGTACAATGATGAGCAAAGATCCCTATTTCCCAATGCTATTGTTTGCTGATCCATAAAAGAGCAACAATAGTTGTCGAAACCTTTTCATAAAGCACTTTGTAGACCATATGTGTAAAGCCCTTTGTATATGCAGTGCACCAAAGTTTCTACTTACAGGATGGCCCTGGCAATCAAGAGAATATACCTGTATGTCTCATGTCTGTATAAGGGAATGGGAATGATTCAAAAGACAAATGACATAAAAAATGTTCTTCTATTACCACATACCCATGTGTCTGACTAGAGACATGAGAGGGGATGTGGGTGTTACAAGCCTGCTGTGATCCTTAAATCCAGGAACTGTTGGAAAAAAATCCTGAAGTAAAGTATGTAAAGCAGACATCATGCTGTATTGAATCTGAGCTCCTGCTTTTAGCAGCAGATCCATATTAGTGGAGTCATAAAACTTTGTTCCAATTGGACTGAATAGATAAAGGTTTCTAATAGAAGATACAGAAATCTCAGTGGAACTTGATTTAGGTAATGGGGTTCTTTCTTAAACAGAAATGAGCTAATCACATAATTTTTTACTAAATCTAACATTTATTCAGTTAAATGACTTCTCAGTGACTTACACGTAAATACATGTGTGCATGAAAACAGCAGTATTGGAATGTTTTTCATTCATTAAAATACTGAAAAGGAAGAGCTCTGCAGGCCACTGAAGTGCTCTCCAAGTTCATTACAGAAAGAGGAAGCTGTCTGCCACCAGGGAGATGACAAATGCAAATGTTGCAAGTAACACATTGGGGTTTTTTGGTGGCACAGGGTGGGAGATGGTACTTTTTACTGGTTTTGGTTTAGTTTCCATTTTTGGTGGTGGCAACTTCTGTAGTGGTAGTCTTACTGATGCTTAGGTTCTACATGTTAAAGTGTGTATTAATACTGAGAAGTCTCAAGGATTGAGCAATCTGGTATTGTCCTGTTGTCCTGACGTGTTGTTTTGAAATAGGGACAATTACTTCAGTTTCTCTGAATGTTCTGGAAAATACTGTAGTTTTGCAGAACTGGTATATGCTACGTAGCAGTGGCTGGGTGATTAATCACAACTTGGCAGGTTTATTAATGTTTTTGTAGTGGAGGGATGGGTCCCATTAGTGATTCTGTCTCACAGTCAAGCTGTTCTCTCCTGTTTCTGGAGCTGTTTGGTAGCTGTTGAACTTAATGAGAAGGCAGAGACAGCAGCATGTATTTACTGTAAAATAAAACTGTCCATGGTTAGTACAAATTACAACCTAGTTTAAGAAGTGACAGAATTTGCATTTAGCAGGCGTGAACGTGTCCTACAACAGATCACTGTGTGACAGTGAATTACCATTGTACACAGCGTAGTGAGAGACAATTGACTCCTAGTAAATAAAAGTCAATTATTCTTACAGAATCACTTAATATAAGCATTCCTTTTGAAAACAAACCGGTTTGGTTAAGTTTTCTTATCCTGTACTAGCCCAAAATGTGTCATCGAAGAAGTGGCTTACAGCATAATTTCTAAAATTATCACTTAAAAAATACATTGTGTTGAGGCCATATAAATGTATAAATCTAGGGAAAACGTATTCTCATAGTATGCCTTTCTGATGGGAATCTTTCTAGCTTGGGAGAATGTATTTGAATTTACTTTTTTTTTTTCACAAAATAATTTTCTATCAAAGTACCAAGTTATTAACAACAAAACTTTTTTTTTAAAACAAAATTATTATTTAACAGATACATTTTCAGATAGTGGTGCATTTTTAGAAGTAGTGATTTATTTCAGTCTTTAGAAACTAGATTTATTTAACTCTTAGTAGTACTAGTTTTTAGAGATGTTCAGAATGCTCATTTTGCAATATTTTTTGTCTTGTTACTAATAGAAGTCCATTTATCCTAATTTGTGCCTGTAAAATCAGTGGTTAATGGTAGGTGTACCAGCTTTGAGACAGGTTCAGAGTTGTTAACTGATTCACTTTCAAAAGCGATTTAAAGAGAATGGCTAATGCCATTGTGTTTCTAAATTTTGTTTCTCAATCTGCAGCATTAGATACTTACTGAAGCAGTAAGCTTTTCGATACATAATGTGGTCAGAAATGTAACCACCTCTTGTTTATTCAAAAATGAAGTTGACTATCGCAATTTTTTTAAGAGTTTTATTAGACAGGAAATTTTACTAAGTTGGGTTAAATTTGAGGCAAGAACATGTCATTTGGGGGCTGACATTTTAAAGATGCTGCGTAGTTCAGCTTTGTATGCAGCTTATATCTGGCATAGGTTAGGTAGCCGTATGTGAAACAGAATTGTGTTTGTAGAAAAAAATCTTTTTAATCACAAAGCTAAATCAAACCAGATGATCCCGATTGTCTTATTTTCCCCTCCACCTTTTTTTTTTTTCTGGTGAATGCGTGCTTAGTCCACAATCTTCAAGTGTTGGGAAGAAAGATTTGGATTTGCTGGGATTTTTTGTCTTTCTTACTGTGAAATACTAAGGTTTTACTTTAGTCTTCTACACATCAGTGATTGATTCTAGAAGATTCTAGTGATAATAAATTCTAAATCAGAATTACTTCCAGTTATACATCCTGTTAACTGCTAATCTTTGGGCTTCCTTTTCTGAGAAGATAAGGAGGTGACTTTTTCCCTGGTATTATTAGCTAATGTTTCGTCACAGTTGGAGAATTCTGTAAGGCTTTACTGGACATACA